TTTCACAGAACTAATCAGATGAAACAAAACATGTTTAACATTTTACTGTAGAATCAGAAAGTTCCTTCAGTAAAGTACTTTGTCTAAATTACACACAGGTTGTAAGATAAACAAAACATATGGCTGAACACAACTCTCCTGCAGGCTGGTACTATTCACAGTGATTTCAGACCCTGTACCACACAGCTCCATACTGTTTACACAACTCACATGCACAACAGTAGCTCTGCTTAATGTAAACAACCATACTGTTAGACAGATACATACCAGATATTTGTTTCACACAGATGTTGTTGCAGATGGGGGTTCTGGTCCTGATACGTTTGGTGAAACATCATCAGAAAGCTACAGCTCACCATCCAGCCCTCAGCACAGAGGACCAGAGAGCCTTGATAGTGAGGATGACAACAACAAAGGTAAAATATCTTAGTATGCATGTTGAAGAATTCCAGTTTCTTTGATAGAAGATGGTGGTGTCTGTTCTTACCTGTTCTTGTTTCTGTGTTAGACACAGACAGCCACTCTGATGACTCCAGTAAATGTCCTGGTCCTGACATGTTCTTCACACGCGACACTGTTCCAGCTGTGGTGGGGGACGTCTCCTCTGTCCATTCTCTGTCTTCCAACAACCACCGGCCCCAGATAGATCCCCTGTGCCCAGAGAGCAGCACCGAGTTTCCTCCTCTCTCCTTCATGCATTCTCTGCCACCTCCCAGCCAAAGCATCGCCGCTGAGGGGAAGCTCTCATCTGGTACAATGATGATGCAGATGCCCTTAGTGCCTCCAGCCATCCCAGGCCCAGGAATTGTGGGAGACCCAGAGAAGAGGGACATGCTCCCAACCTTTGGGATTCCGCTGATTGGCCTCCGCCCTCAAGGAAGTCTGTCTGTGCAGCCTTTTGTTCAGAGGTTTAAAACAGTTCTGGGTGGAGCTGATGGAGCGTCAGGGATTGGCTCTGCTGCTGCCATGCCACAGGCTTCACATCAGGCCCCAGTCAGAGCTATGAGTGTCATGACCCCTGGCCCCACATCCTTCTGCTCTCCACCTCAGCAGCCCTGCCAAGACCCAGCCAGTGTCAACTCAGGTCTGGCCTCCTCTCTGCCACATGTGGAGCCTTCACACGCCAAGCACCCGGGCTTATCTTTACCATCTGGCCTGCCTTCTCCCTACACCCTGCCCCCTATCCCCTCATCTGTCATGCCTACTGTAGGAGCACCTGTAGCCACTGGAGTGGCTCCATCTTCTGGACATGTACAAGCTGCTGTTCCTCCAGCTGTGCCCACCCACACCCCTGGACCCGCCCCCAGCCCCAGTCCAGCACTTACTCACAGCACGGCACACAGTGAATGTACATCCTACAGCAACAGTGGTTCTTCCTGTGGAAGTGCCCCTATTGCCCCTGGAATCCCTATTGCTCTTCAGCAAACCCATCAGCAACAAGTGACTCCACAGCAGCCAACACAGCCACCACCACCACAACAGCAGCAACAGCATCAACAACAACAGCAGCAGCATCAACAGCAGCAGCAGCAGCAACAACATCAACAGCAGCAGCAACAGATGGGCTGTGGTACGTGTGGTTGTCATAACAACTGTGGCGGGCGAAGCAGCAACAGCAGCACTGTCAGCGGCGTCTCCAGCTGCCAGACACCCTTATTCTTCCCCACCCACCAAATGGCAGCAGCAGCAGCTCGCCAGGTGTTCAGCGTTCCTCCGCCTCTCTTCCAGCTAACAAGCATGTGCAGTAACAGCTACCTCACCCAGGCCCAGGCTCCTCACCAGGCCAACGGTGCTGCCACCCTGCCTCCCTTCTTCACCGCTGCTCCACCTCCTACACACCCGTCCCCCTACGGCCCCCTCCACGCAGACGTGCCATCACACATGCTGGGCACCCAGGCCGCCGCGGTGGCGGTCGCCGCAGCCGCAACCTACAACCTCCAGCAGCAGATGGCGCCGGCGGCATCTTTCTGCCAGCGGGTCTACCAGCACGTGTACCCGAATCCTCTGGGGATGCTGCCTGCTGCAACTCTGGGAGGAGGCGGAGTAAATAAGAAGAGCGGCAATGTGTCCTGTTTTAACTGTGGAGTCAGTGGCCACTACGCTCAGGACTGCAACCAGCCCTCCATAGACTCCACACAGCAAGGTAATGCAGCTACGCAACGCAGGGAGAAACAGAGGAGCCATTAGTTTTCTTTTCCCAGAAGCCCAAACAAGTCCAGAAATAAGTCTAGACCAGTTAGACAAGTTAGAGCTTGAATCACCAAGACTGTGACAATGTGGTAGCAGTCAGACTGTCAGCGTTGTAACCTGGAATTAATCACTGTTTAACTGTTAAGTCAGTGTTAAAACCAGCTGCTCTACGTCAACCACTTGTAGGAACTACTATAGCAGCAGTGGTTTAGACCCACAGGTGTAGAAATGTCAACATCACCTTCTATTGTAACAACTGAAGAGATAAACCACTGTGTCACCTGCTGGCTATGTTACGAGAGGTTTTTTCTGCAGCCGCTGTTCTGTATGTTTCTGGGGTTTTACCGTGTTTTTCAAAAGAAGAATTCACCTGCAACTACTACATAATGTAATCACATAACCTACAATACAAAAGCAGAAACAAGAGGTTTGGTGAACAAACATCTAGTTTTCCTCCCCACCATTGCTAAAGAGCAGTGCACAGTCGCTTCCATTAGTTTTTCAAAGGAAAGTATTTGGGCCAACTCAAGCATGGTAGCTGAAAAATGTGTAAAGCAGTGATTTCTCTTTTGAAGAACTCAGTAAATGTGGGACAAGATACCTATATATGTAAATACATACATATATACAAACATATCTATACAGGAATACACAGAAACAGCGTAAGGTTGAAGTTCACTGACCTGTAATGCTCAGATGATCATTTCCTCAGCTGTCCACTGATCGTGTATCCTCTGTGTGTTTGGATACATCTGTGTGTGTGTCCATGTGGCTGCCTGTGTGTTCCCATTGCAGGTGGCTTCCGGTTAAAGTACGCAGCCTCCCACATTTCAGAAGCATTCGACAATGCCGACTGAAGACGAAGAAAGGATGAAGAGTTCCTCTGGTCTCGTTGCCACGGTGACAGTCCTGTGTTTCTCCCCAGGCAGAGTCTGAGTGAGTGGTGCACTAAAGCATCTGTGTACTTCAGGAAAAAAAAAAAGAATCTCAACCTGCCAAGGGCTCAGCGGACAAAGCCTAAGTACTTGTGCCTGAGAAAATCTTGTTTCCGTGGAGATGATACACTGACTCTCTGTCCCTTCCCTTTCAGTTTGTTTTTGATATTTTTGCACTGAGGGATGGAAAATGATTAACTTATTACATAATTATTAGGAAGTTTTGTTTTTACATGAAAGTGGAGAATAGTCTCGACTGAAAATGGTTCTTTTACACTTCTTTCTAAAATAACGTATTTATGCGTTTTTCCTCATTATTACTGGTTACCTGGGATTTTATGTCCGACTAAAGTGTATAGTAGTTTTCAAAGATTAAAAACAAGAATCAAAAAAGTAATGTAAGCAAAATGGATATTATGTTCGTTCTAATTTTCGATTTTGCTCATGTTTTCTGAATGTACACCTTCTCATTTAGGGAATCTGAGTGTCTGAAAATGTGTGGCTCTCATGCATTTTTGTTACTTGATCTGTGTTTGATTAGAAGGTAAACTCGCTGCTTTGTGTTTTTCCTGTTTAATTTTTTAATTGTTTTACTTGGTGAAATAGTGAAGCAGGAACTTAAGTGCACTAAAACAGTTCTCACTGCAAACATGTTGTAAGGATTCATTCATTTAAAGATGAAAACCAACATGAAGTAGCAAACTTATCAGCAAATGCGGCATTTTGACGGTTTTGGTCTAATTTAGTATTACTAGGTGTAAAATTTCGATTTGAACTGGTTAACACTTTAGAGTGAGATCTGTGTTCTTAATGAAAAAGTACAGCCACTGTAGAAGAATATCATACTACCCTGAAACAAGCCGAGTGAACTCTGCAGAAAGCAGTGGTACTACTCTCAGAAGAAATGATCTGCTTAATCCTTACTACAGAAATAACACCTGTAGAACCTAATCCTTTGGGTAGATTCATGCTCTCCTGAAGATTCAGTTCTGATTGGATACTCATTACTGGAGACAACCACTACTATAAGAACACTAACCTCAGTTTGCTTCCTGTCCAGCCGCTTCCTTAGGCAAAAAATACGTTAAACCTTTTTTGACTCTAAGGCAGAGATCTTCCTAATGTCACTCTAACGCCCTACTCTCGCTACAAGATTTCATTTTGCCTTAAATTCAAACTGATCATTAATAACTGAATGACAGCTGTGTAACTCATCGTCTCATCTCGCTAAGTTTTCGACATCCCGACATAGGCTTCCCATTCATAAAAACAAGACTATAACTGTTTGCTGAATTGCGGCCACATGTGACTTAACACGATGTTAAATATACAGAAGAGTAGAGTCATTAAGCTGATGCACTGACCTCGTAATTACACAGTTTTCTAACTCTAGCAGGAAATATGCTACAGGTCATATTCAAAACCAAGACTAGCAGCAGGATCAGTCCCTGTGCAAAAGTGAATTTCATTTCTCTTTTAACCAGTAGATGAAGAAAGGGTTATTTCATTTTTTTAGAAGCTAAGTTAGAGTCCAAAAAGACTGTGTGATGAATAATGACACTAAAAGTACACGGCAGTTTGGAGTTGCTGGGTGCAGCCTCTACAGAGAATTTAGAGCATCCATCTTTTCTTTTATTAATGTTTTAATGCTAATGTTTAATATTTCAGCTGTTGCCTTCAGGGGTGCAGAAGATGGAGCAGTTTGGGTGTTTTGGGTTTGACACGTATAGCTTGATCGCAGAATTTTCATTGTTTCTTCCCCTTAACTTTCAAACTGACAAACAGAGCAGAATTTAAAGTAGGTGTATTTTGTATGGGCAGTTTTATTTCTGTCAGATGTAATATTGAAACAGCTTGTTGGATTTAACTCCATGTTGCGCTGCACACTGAAGAAGGAAATGTCCAACTATTTTCTGCACTCTGTAATTGAATGAAACGATGTCTGGTTTTAATTGCTGATCTAGTATTTGATTTGAGTTTCCTGACGCTGCTCGAGGATAGAATTTGAAATATGGAGCCCTAAAATATTCAATAATGCATAAATAGATAATACGCCAACAATATTTTGTGAAATAATTCATTAAAACGACTCAAATTCAACTTTTTTTTGTCCTTTTGTCAAAAGTCTGCTTTAATTTAACAATTTAATATTTGTGTCATCATGTGACCCCTGACCTTTTAACCAGCAAGCTCAACAACTGCTGCCAGTTAGCACCGGTTTGCTAGAAGAACAACATTTAATTTATTCAACTATTATTCATATATTTATTCAACTATTAATGCTCTAATACAGAAAGTAGTGTCTCTCATATTAACTTAGACAGTTAATAGAGAGTGAGTGGTCAAAGAGGTTTAGGCTGGTATGTGTTTATTTACATCAGCAGCCACATAGTTGTTTCTGAATGCTCTGACGTTGCTGTTGCTCTAACCAACAGGTGCTAACTGGCTAAAAGTAGCAGCAGCAGCTATGGAGCTTGGTTACTGAAGAGGTTCACTTTAGAAAAAAGCTATTTCTATACGTTCAATAAAACTCCTTTATTATAAGAATAACAATAATATTTAGCTTTTTAAATTGATATATTCTATTTATTGAATATTGAGTACTTTAGGCCTCCATACTGTGTAAAAGTACTTAACAGTTCTCATTACAAAATAACTGCAGGATGATTAAATAACATTGAAGGTGTTTTTTGTTCATGGCAGAAATGTTGGGTTTTATTTTTTAATTGAACAATAATAGTTTTTTTGTAAGCAGACATTTCTTAGTGACGCGCTTTAAGTTTTTACAGTTTCTGCAAATTAAGTGTGAGTTTGTATTAATGTGAGCGTGTGTGAAAGAAACTCTCAGGCTGCTCATTGGTTCTTTCAGGCCTTGTGGACGTGCTTGTCTCTGTTTTGTATTTTATCACCATTAACTCAAACTACTGTCAGTGCACGAGGTGAAAATGAATCTATGCATACAGTTGTTTTTTTTTTCCTGAATGCTTAAGAAGCTGCCGGTGGTTGAGACTGAGGCATTTAACGTAAATCTGTAAAAGGACGAACAGCCTGGAAGAGCAGACTGAGTCCAGTTTGACTCTGAAGATTATTTATGTCCCAAACTTTCCCACAAAGTTCTTACTCTCATTCAATAATTGAATTCAATTAATTAATTGAAGTGGATTAGGCGACCCTGCTGATCAGATCATCATCAGATGTGGACCAGTTGTAGAAGAAGAGTCCAGTGTACATATACTGAGGATGCACCAAACAACCCAATGTGTACTTTTGTTTGAATCAAATTAAAAACAATGCTGTACTGTACATTTGCAAGGGATCAGTCTGCTGCCACCCTCACTTAAAATGTTTACTCTTTGATATCTATGTACTGGAAAGGTCAAATATATTTCTAGAGCAGAATTTGGATTTTATGCAAACTGTTGATCTGTTTTTTGTCCTGTAATTAAAAGCAATAAATACAAAAATGAAGTAAGATTTGTGATGAATATGTCACATCCACTTTTGTCTTTTGGAAAGTTTGGACCACAATGTTTAATTTTGTTTTATTCTGTAATTTGCTTAGAATTATTTTTGTATGAATGGGGACATTGATTAATCAAGTTCTGTACTGTAAGGACTCTAAGACGAACTAAGAAGAGGACTTGTTGATTTTGCATTTTGTGCTAAATTAATGTATATTACTGTACACAAATGAGAAGCATTAATAACTTGTGTACATTATTGCTAATAAATTGGTTAAATCTTTCAGAAGCACAAGTACTAAGTTTGACACACCAGCACACAGCAGAGTTTCTTTCAAACAGGATGTGTTTGTTGTAAAACCTTTTTTGCTAAAAGAAACTGCTCTAAGTCATCTTTTAAAATTGGCCTTTTTATTTCTTTCAGTTACAAGAACCGATTGCCGCAACTACATTAAACCTCTTTATTGAGAATATCTTAGCTATTTGATCACAAAATACGATAACAAAATAATATTTTAGTTAATTACCTACAAAATTCAATCAAAGAGACCTATTTAAAAGATTTTCCGGTACAGCAGCTGCAAGAGAGAAATAGGAGCCACTTACAAACTAATATGTTCGTGTGAACTGTGTGAATAAGTGCAGTTTTAAAGGTGCTTACCAGTCTCAATGGATGTAGCAGTAGTGTTGTCACCGAGTGTTCTGTTCCTGTGTTCAGCTCCTGTTGCTCTGCAGCGAGTCGATGAGACACTTGTTGTAGTCGGCCACTTGTTGAGAGACGTTCTTGGCCACTGAGGCGTAGTCGCTCTCCTGGGACTTCGAAGCGATGACTGGTGGTGCAGTTCAGGAAAAAAAGAAAATCACTGGTGGAGCAAATGAAAGGCTTTTTACAGAGACCACTCACACGTCTCACTGAGCTGTTTTTCAGTGGAGATGATGAGAAGCACCACTCAGACAATAAACACAGCGACAGATAGAGGATACACTCTTTCATCACAAAGTTGTTCTGCTCCAAGTGCTGCCACTTCCTCTCCAGGTTAGCCAGCTACAAAATAAAGCACAAACACACAGGGTATTAGCATCACAAGTTGCCCCATCAGCTTACTACTGTATTAACACAGACTTCAGACAGAAAAGAAAAGACTGGAAAGAGGAGGTCTCAGTGCTTTTAACAGTTTCTGTCCATTTCTCAGGTTTGCTCTTAGATGCAGTCACACTTATGCAAATTACGTATTAGGCAGGATGAAGATGTGACAATGACGGCTAAGTTGCTATTGTTTGAGGCTGTGATGCCTCCAGTCAAAGTTGAAGCCACAGCAGGGTCGCTGCTGTAGCCACATCTTGGACAATGGATCGTGGTTGTGGATCGTGATCTTAATGGTAGATCTGACAACACCTCTGTCATTACAGCTCTCTCCATCTTTGTTGGACATTTTCTTTTGTACAAATACATTAAACATTGATAAACCCCTTCATGTATGTTAGATGCTGTCTTCTCTCATCAATGTTGTAAATACTGTTATTTAGTGATGTGCTCAGCAACTCGCTGCATCTACTGCACTTCTGTCTGTCCTGGGAGAGGGATCCCTCACGTGTAGCTCTCTCTACCAGTTTTTTTTCCTTCCTCCTGTTTTATTTTGTGAATATGAGCTATACAAATAAAATCTGATTGATTGCAAAGGAAGCAAATGTTTTATCAGCCCCCTAGCTTGCACAGAATGGAAGCGAACGGGAGGCGAAGGTTCGCTAAGTTCACCTATGTGTGACTGTGCCAGTTCACAGGACTAATGACACAAACATCTGAAAAACTGGGCCTCCGTTGGCTAAAGAGCAAAATGCTCAGAATGATGTGTAAAATGTAACCTGAGCGTGAGTCTCGTTTTCTTGCAGTTTGGTTTTCAGAGCTTCATATTTCTGGTTCATCTCGTCCAGCAGCTGTTTGAAAGAATCTCGACGCTGCGTCAGCGACACTTGCGCCTCCTGCAGCCTCTGCAACCAAACACAAACAAGAAACAGATTATAGTGTGTTTTTGATGAACTACAAACAAATACAGCCATATGTGCTACCATGTGTGTGCAACAGATTTGCAAAACTTATTCTATTTCTAAATGATTATCCACGTCTCCAGCCCTGTTACCTTCTTCTTCTCCTCTGCTGTGTGTCTCAGGGTGTCCAGGTCTCTGTAGGTGTGCAGCTCAGTCTCCATGGTGCTGACGCGCTCCTTCAGGCTGCTGAGCTCTCCAGTGATCTTCCCCTCCAGCTGCTGCACCTTCTCCAGGTCCTGCTGCAGACGCTGCGACTCTGGGGGGGGGGGGTGGAAGCGAAAGGTGTGTTTGTTTTTCATAGCAGGTGAAAAACAAACACTGTGTGTATCTGTGCACACGCTACCTGTTGTCAGTCCCTTGGCGGTGCTCTCTGATTGGACCACCTCAGTCTCCTTGCTGACCAGCACCTCCTGCATGTTCCTCAGCTCACTGGCCGTCACTGTGTCCACCTGACGTAGCCGCAGCATGTTCTACACACACACACACACACACACACACACACACACAAACAGACATTCCATCACTTTTGTGGCTCATTTGTTTCTCTCTAACTATATTCTGTCTTCCGTCCACCAACCCCCCACTCCCCCCGCCACCCCTCCTCACCCTGCTGCTGTACTCCAGGAGGGAGACAGTGTCCTCCTGGCTCTGTGTCATCTTCTCCTGCAACTGAGACCTGGACTCCTCAAATGACTCCAGGAACCCTGAAACAAAGGAAGGAAGTTACTGCCACTTACGCCTGGCTGAAAGTTATTGTACAGTGAGGCCTGAAAAATTGAAACCTCATGCAGACACATTAACGCTCCTCGGTGCAGGACTGAGAAATATTCTGACTCTGGTGACTCCTGGTGGCTTCATCCAAGAAGACAATGTGTTTCTTAGTAGCTCTAATATTGTTTTAGATGCATGGTATAGTTCATCAAATAACTGAGGATCTACGGAACCGAGAATTCAAACATGACACTGGAGCCATGTGCACATCACTGATAGAATAATAATATTAGAATAGCAGAAGTTATTTATTGTGCTTTGAAAATGGTACAAACTTTTTCACAGCTCTTATCAATCAGATTTCTTTTTGTCTTTTAAGTAGTTCCAAGTTTGTCCACTGTTCCCCTCACTTCAATGCACCATATCATTATTGTTACACTCAAAATACTGTGACATTATTCATATCAAATTATTCAGTACATTATATGACAAAACGTCTACTTACGGTCAATTTCCTCCTCTTTCCTCTTCAGCTCCTTGTATTTCTGTTGACATTCTCCTGATGGAAAAGGCATGATCAGATATTCTTATATCACATTCATACTTTATATGGAAACATTAAAACATGATTTGACTGTCGGAGTTGCTGTATAGTATAAAGTGCAAATGCAAATTGTAAATACAATTTACATTTCTACTAAAAGATGACATGTGACAACATATACATTTCTGAGGCTGTCTCAATCATGCAATATAGGGTAACATTTAACAAAGTGACTGACTGATGACCCTTAAAGACGTTCGACCAAAGGTGCTCACTCTGGTTCTGACTCTAGCAGGAAAAAAAGCTGTGATTTGATGTGTTACCCTGAGCTTCCTCTGAGTCCTGCTCCAGCTGCTGGATCTGCTCTGTGATTTGTGTGGTCCGGTCTCTGGTCTCTGTGAGCCTGAACACACACACACACACACACACACACACACACAATTGATTATCAAAATTATTGCAGATTCATTCAGTGATCAACTGATGTGTGAGCCAGTGAGCCTAATGACATAGTGTTCTTGAAGTACAAAACTACATATACTATGAACTGTCTTGCATTACTTGGACACTTGGTATAAAACCTTGGGTGTAAACCTGTATAGATACACACAAGTATACTATTTATAGTATATATTTATAGTATACTATAAAGCAGTGGTTCTCAAACTTTTTACACTAAGTACCACCTCAGAAAATACTTGGCTCTCCAAGTACCACCATAATGACCTACATTAAAATACAGTAGCGTACCCTCACCCTAACAAAGGTTTTATTTAACAAGCATATTTAATATTGTCGGCCACTGTAACATAACACACAGTTTGAACAGTAACACTGTGCTTAAATATAGGAATATAAACAACTGTATTTCAATAATGAATCAAATAAAGTGTAGTGCACATAAAAGTTTAATAAATATTGGACTGAAATAAATATTAAAAGAACAGTTCTTAAGTACAAAATGTACTGTACTTGATAACAAAAATCTAAACAGGTTATGCATGGCTGCAGTCTCAAGTGACTGAACATAAAGTCCTCCTGAGCTGCACCATCATAATCATATCTCACATAAACCAATGCATTGGCCACCTTTGCAACAATCAGTGTCTTTTATTCTCTTTACACGGTGTCATTTGAAAGCTGCACCACGTTTTCTCTGCACACGTGCTCCGTGTCATGTCTTTGGCTAAAGGTGAACACAGCCGTTCCCCCGATCGTGTGAAGCTTACCGGGCTCTGACGATCCGGAGGCCCGCACGATATGGAGCTTCATGTGCTTTGACTATGGGTGTATCACCGGACTGAACGGTGGACTTTGACTGCTTCAGTTCATCACGTTTCTTAAATAAAATCCCACTGGTGTGTCCTGAGGGGCCGTGTGTTTGGTTGTATCATGCTAGCTAGCTTCACCGAGGCGCTCAACTAGCCACCGTTAGCGCCTGCGCTCGGCTCACGCACGCACGGCTACGTACGGCTACCCAGAAGCACTTGCAAACTTTTTAGTTTTAACTTAATTTATATCTCTTTTCGTTTTCTTGTCATCGGTTGATCAGATATTTTCATCTACTCTAATATGTCTGATAGTATTTTACATTTTAAATTTACTTTATTTATATTTAATCATGTGATTATTTTGCGTACCACTAGAGGGAGCCCACACTTTGAGAATAACTGCTATAAAGTATACTAAAGACCTCAAAAAGTTTCAAATCTATGAGCAACTGACTGATTATATGAAAACTTACTGTCTCTCCATGCTGGCAATTTCCTGGTTGTCTTCCTTCACCTGGAAATGACAGAAAATCTTTATTGAGTATCTACGCCTACTTGATCTGTCTCTGTGAGCTGCAGGTGAAATCTCGAGAAAAAGCCAGTGGCTAAACCTTGACTTAAATCATAAATACAACAATATAAATAGCACTGTTGAATTACAGGTTATTTTCTTTCATGTAGGATTTTGTTAACTTGTGTCTTGTTTGTCTTTGTGGAGCCGACCTGTTTGAATAGCTTCTCTCTCTCCTCCTGGGGTGAACCCAGACTCTTGTGCTCGGCCTCCATGGCGTCACGCTTCGCCTCCAGCGTCGACAGAGTCTCATGAAGCCGCACCACTTCCTGTTTTATGTGTGAGTGGGCCAGCTCCTGCACACAACAAAATGTCACATTAAACACATTTATCTACTACAGCTGGATATGGTGTGAATGCTCCAGACCTCTGACCTTATGTAAAATTCATGTTGATATAACTTTTTTTTTCTACTCGTGTTTAATGAGTAACATGTTATTATCAGGAATGTAATGACAGAAATTTCACTGTACTTGTTCATTATTGTAGGTTTTATCTTCCACACATTAGCTGGTATCTAAACAATGTCTTGGATTTAACTTGAACACACCAGGAACCTGTCTGCTGCCCCTCAACACCCCAACTCACTGCTTCATAGTCCTCCTTCCTGGTCACCAGAAGGTCCAGCTCCTCCTGCAGAACAGTGAGCTCCTGCAAAACAAACAAAACATGGAGGCACTGAGAACGGAGGCCGAGATAAGGACATGAAGATGGTGACAGTGTAAAACCAAAGTATGAGTCCCCCTCTAGTTTAAATCAAGTTTTTATACATGTTGCCCTTCTTCCTCTTACAAGATGAAAGACATAAGCAGTCCAGTATTTCTGAGGATTGATTCAGACGGCCAGGTTTATGATGTCACACACATAAGACACCAATCCTGTCAACTTGTGGGTGGGGCTCCGTAGCTGGAAAAGGCTCCTCAACTGCAGATGTCGCTTTGAGGGTGGGCAGACTGGGAGCAGGGGCGGGGCCTTATTAGCATATTCATAGCTCCCAGTCACGAAATAAGGACGGAAGGCGGAGTTACATTTTAGCCATTTTATAAGAGCACAACTTATATATTATATATTATAACATATTACATTTACAGCATGCTGACAGTATAACAGTTATACTAATACAAGCTAAGAGCAGTATTATATTCTTTATTCCCTGTATAAACTACATTCATACCTGTAACAGTTCCTCATTGGCTGAAGCCATAGTGAAATACTTCTCTTGTTTTGCAGCAGACATTGATTGGACGACTTCATCAGCGACCTGCCTCTCCCTCCTGATCTCCTCCTCAATCGCCCTGATCGCCTCCTCTCGTCTGGGGAGCAAACGCACAATAGGGAAGGAAACAAGGGTCAAAGGATGGAAGGGATAAAATGAGGGAACGTGCCTTCCTTCCTTTCCTTCTCTTTTAACTTCTTACGCATCTCATTTTCATTTCCTTCCATCTAAAGCTCATCTGCTTCTCTTCTCTCCAAATTGTCCAACCTTCTTTCCATCATTCCTCCCTCTCTCATTTCCTCCACCTAAGTCCAACCTGCTTTGGACTCCCCTCTCACCTCCCACCCATTACTGTAAAATTCTTTCCCCCCTGCTTTCTTTGCTCCCTCCCCTCGGTATTCAATTACTTTCTCCCTGTATGTACAGGCTATTGTCATTAATCCCATTTATTTATGTGCTGTATTACGTACACTTTAAATAAAACACATTTCCAACAAAAAGCTCAAAGATTGCTCTAACTGAAGTAAGACAGACAGGAGGAAGTGAGGACAGATTTCCTCATAAGTCAAAGTCATTAGCCAACAGGATGTCAGTGTATGTCAGCCTTTGTTTTACAAGGACCAAAGGTTGTTTGCTGTGCTGGCTGCGTCAGGGCGACAGGTGAATAAAGGTTTATCTTGGTGCCAGAAGACGTGCAGGTAAGTGTCTTCAGTTACTGTAAATGAATATGTAACAGTGAACTGCTTTGTCAATTCATTGAACAGTATGTACATTAAAGATAACCGGAAGGTTGTCAGAAAGGCTGCAGTGGAGGATTTTGTGTTAATATTTCTGCGTGGAATCAAATACGTATCGTGGTTTACATGATTAATCAGATTAAAGTTAATAGTTTGAAAAAGACATGTTGTTGTGTAATGTCCATTCAAACAGGTTTACACACAAGGTTTTATACCAAGTTAGTGTTCAAGTAATGCAAGGCAGTTCACAGTTCATAGTACATGTAGTTTTGGAAGTACTTCAAGAACATTATATCCTAAGGCTCACTGCTTACAGTGATCATTGTGTAATAGTAGTAGTTTAACAGACGGTACACATTGTTCTTCAATTGAACCATCAGTTGATCACCAGAAAATGAATCTGTAATTATTTTGATAATCATTTAAGAAATGCATTGAGACAAAATACCAAACTTTATTTGGATCAATCTGGGTGGACACTACGATGTCAACCATTTACCTCTGGCATCTTTCATTATATTCTGATATAGAGACACAACTATAAAATGATTGTTTCCCGCTGCCCTAAAAGGAGAAAAAAGGGACACGAAATGTGTTTTACAGTTGACTTTATTTTATTTTATTATGTATCTTATACTTTACTTGATTTAAAACATTTCATCATTCTACTTTCTCTCTCATTCTATTTTTATTCTGATGTACTGCGTGTGACTTATTGTACCTTGTATCGTGAAGCACTTTGGTCAACCAAGTTGTTTTCAATGTGCTATATAAATACATTTGACATTGACATTACCAACTGTGTTTTGTATTTGTTAGCATGATGCAGAGGTGCCGGCAACCTCTCCTGCTGTGTTTGACTGCAGTGCTGGTCATTGTCCTGGGAAAAGCTGTAGGAGAGGATGCTGTGGTATGAAAAGTTCTTTAACTTTCTTTTATTACTCTTTTTAACAGGTTTTTATGTTTCCTCTTCGCTGATTGTATGTGTTCATTCGTCCATCAGGATGTGAAGAACTTGACCAGCAAGGCTCTGCAGGTCATTCCTTATAATGACAACAGCCCAAACATTACTAAACTGGTGGTTGAGGGAAACCAGATCACTCTAAATGAGACGGACCAACAAGCCCTGGCCTCTTATCCCTCACTGGCAGAACTCCACTTGGATGGTAACCGGGTGACTGCAGTACCAGCCAAGTACTTCTCTGTGGTTCCACACCTCAGAGTGCTATCTCTGTCCAGGAACATTATCAGTCGGTGAATAAGAAAGCACATCAAAATCATAGCCTTGTTGAAATCTGTATTGGATAGTATTAAATACTAACTTGAATAGATCTTATGTATGTTGTTTTAACACAGTGACATTGTCAAAATAATGTATTTTCAAAAATGTAGGGATGTGCAGGTAGGGTTGTTTGTGTGTAATCTTTGTGGATACTATTTTCCTATTTGATGATGCACCTTAGAACTGTTACAGACTTGTAAGTCAAGTATTACTCACAGTGATCACTACAACTGATTAGAAATGTGGGTGTTGTTATAGCCTGGATCCTGAAGCTTTCTTTGGCCTGGATGTCCTGACAGAGCTGGACCTGTCCAATAATCTGCTGACAAGTCTCCCCACACAACTACTGGGAGGGATAAAGAACCTACAGGTACAATGCAACGATATTCTTGTAAATCCTACAACACAAGCAATATTTTCAGTCTGTATCATTTCACATGCCAGTCATATTGATGATTTAACCGTTCATTCACCTTGGAGTTAAATTGAGAAACACAATAGTAATCAAATAAAACAGTACTTGTAATCCTGGTCAAGTACTAAGTTTTTGTTCATCACTACACTATTTACATTATGTACACCAGGGTATTAGTTTTACTGACAAATGCCTGATCTTATCTGCTCCCATTAGAAGCTGAACCTACAGGAAAACCCCTGGAATTGTTCCTGTCCACTGCTGAGCATCATTGGAAAGATCTCTGCAGCAAAAATTACCATCGGTAAAAATATGTATTTTACACTTTTACTTAAGTCGTATATAGACTTGTGACTGACTTAGGTACACAAATTTCAGAATAATACAAAAATAATAGTTAATATACTTATATAAACAGAATTTAGTGCAAAATCATCAACTTTCTTGTGGTTCTCATTTATAAGAAAAAAATTCCCTCAGAGAAACAAGAAGCATTTTTTTCTCAGACTTTAACATTACAACACATTTTTTTTTACTGTAACCCCTTAGTTTCATTGGTGCAAGGGAGAATGAAATCTGAGTGGAAATAGCTTGTAAATATGGGAGTCTATGTATTTAAAATCAATGAGCTGTGATGTCTACAGCTGGCCCCGTGGTCTTTGGTTCAAATCCAATATTTATTGTTTGCAATGAATACAAGTCGCCTGCACATGGTGGGGGTAGAGAAGTTTGTCCTGGAAGAGTAGAGTCTGTTCAAGTTCACACTACTAGTTCACTCTACATAGGCTTTTCCTGTAGGACACTTGAGCAACCTACTCAAGTGAATGTTCATTAATTGAATTACTTTCTATGTGGAATGTCTGTTTCTACAGGGGCACCTGGAGTCACCTGTGCTTCTCCAGAAATGCAGGCTGGCAAAGATCTTTTAGAGGCTGCAGCTGTGTGTTACCCTTCACCATCTCTCACAATTAATACTGACCGCACCACTCAACAGCCCTGGACTGCATCCACTACACTGAAGACCACACTGTCATCAAAACAGAACCACAGCTTAATTAATGGTAGGAGAAGAGAGGAATAGATGTGAATCTTCTTATATATGTGAACATGACAAGCTTAATGACACAGTCTTTCTTCTCTGTCTTCCCCCTCCAACCTCCATCAGACCAGACTCCTGTGCTCAATAACACATGGAAGTTCACAGCATGTGTCGTAGCCCTGGCACTAACAACCTCCATGCTCATTGTATGTGCCATCAAGGGGCCTTCCTGGTACAAGCTCTTCCACAACTACCGTCATCGGCGGCTAGACCCACAGGAGGATGACGAGGACAACATTGCGTCAACGGTCTTCTCGGAGATGGGAAGATACCACAACCATCAGACCTTCACCTTTGAGCCAGAGAACGGGCAAGGAGAGGAGGACGAGGACGGGTATTTTGAGGATCCGTACATCAAGAGAGAAGAGTGACTTGCCGAAGAGGGGAATTTAGCAGAACCATGAAGAAACACAGAGCAGCTTTACGGCCACATGTGCGAATGTAACAGTGGTGAACCTTCACTTCCCATTCACTTCCAATCTGTGCGAGGGGGCGAATAAAACATTTGTTTACTGTGACGTAGCAAATCGCAGCGTGGCTTCACATGCAGTTCAACTTTGGTGAACTTTGACCTGCGATATTCGCTATGGATTCAAGTACATGTGACCTGGCCCTGAGTTACCAAAGGAGCCAGTCACCTTCTTGCACAGATACAATCTGTCACTTGAGTTAAACCTAAAAAGTGGGTGTTTAACACATTTATTTTGTAGATGTCATATCTAAAAATAAAAATAAATACAATTATTTCACTTACTTAAATATTAGCTCTGCTAAAGACTATCAGTCTGACAGTTAATGGCTCTATGGCTGTTACTGTGAGTTTGTTTAAGTGTTGGTGATTCAAGCCATTTCGACCTTTTGTATTGATTTTATGTTACTGTGTGACATCACAAAATTAAAGGAAAAACATACACATGTCAACATTAAAGCTCTTTCTAACCCAAGTCTTCCCTATTCCTAACTAACAAATCAAATATACACAATCCAGTCTTATTGAGACATGAACACCACACAAAGGTATGTCATATTTCGGTTCCACATTCCAGTGGTCCACACCCGAGTAAATGATCTACTGCAAGATGCACACTTGAGGTTGTATACAAACAAAGCAGTATTCAAGACGACTACAACTCAGCTGAAGACAGACATGAAAAGATGTAGAATCTTATTTACTAAAAGGATCAATATTAGATCGATATGACCTACAGTGTATGGTAGGATATAGTATGTACTACAGCACCAGTGAAGATGGTTTTGCAGTCTATAGAGAATGGAGATATCTGCATGCTTTGTCAGTGAAAAGTGTAAAACACATTATATTTCTGCTAACTTGAAAGACTATGCAGTCAGGTTAATTACACAGTCATATATGCCCTGGCCATTTTAGCTTCTTGGATTTGTTTAAAAGAAATTAGGGATTCTTTCTGCTTTTAATAATAGACGTAATTGAACTTTGACCAATACTTACTCCCTCCTCTCGGTGAAGATGCTGTCGATGCTTTTAGCCTCGTTGTCGTTCTGGGCTTTCAACTGGGAAGAAAGGAAGGAACATGGAAGCAATGAGAGTTAATTCTCATCATATTATTTTATTAACACTCAGTTTTTGCAGTAAATCAACCTGCTGATATACTTTGATTTGACCACTAACTTTCTGGGTTGCAGCCAGAAAAGTAAATATATTGTAAACTGTCGAGTACTTACAATGTTGTAATCATTTATCATTTCCTCCATCTCTGTGTTGGTGTTGAGCTTGTCCACAAGCTGGAATTAGAAATAAAGAGTTGACACAAATATAAAACTTATAATAATATATAACAGACACTATTTCCACCTTCTTATACATCCTTCTGATTCTTAATTGATTTTTGGCTGTTGCTTTCAGAACACAACAACCATAGTCAGACAGTTACCATCATATATCGCCAATGATCTACAGGATTTCCTTCACTGCCTGTAATTTGTGTCATTTAATCAGCTGATGTTTGCAGACTTGAGATTTACAGCCAGTGTGAGTCATTATGGATAACTGCATCAGCCAGTTACCTATAATAACTGTGCTTCTACAATCTCTTGTTTGTAAGTTCCAGGATGCAGCAGGTATAATAATAATCACTATAATGATATAATAATTACTTTTGAGCAGCAACTCACAGAAAATAATTATAGCCTATGGTTAAAACCTAAAGATTTCAGCTGTTTACCATATTGTAGTCAGCAAGCTGGCCTTGTAGATCCTTAATCTCTGCAGCAAGACCTTCAGCTCTGAGGAAGAAAGAAAAGCCCAAAGTTATGGTCATTTAAGGGATCTGTTAGTCAAGTATAATTGATACAGTGTGAACACATGCTCGTAAAAATACCACTGACCTCTTCTCATAGGAGAGGTAGACAGAGTTCTCCTGGTTGTAGTTGTCAATCTCTTTGTGCAGTTTGCTTGTCTCTGTGGTCAACTCAGTGATCTTACTCCTGTAGCAAAGCAATAATATTCACTTTGGACAATTATGTATCAACAGGGAGGTTAAGAAATTAGCCCTGAATTAGTGTCTTTGTGGAACCCAACTGTAACATAGCCTTTAAGTTGAGAATTTCCCTTACTATGTTCTCTTGCTATAACTAAAAGCATTTACAGTAGAACACAGTTCTAAAACCTAAAGTTCTATGGGATCTGTATCCCCCACATGTATATGTGCTGTATATTTATTGTATAGTTCGAGTGTGTTACCTGAGAAGGCCCAAGTAGTAAGACTTATCCAGAATCTGTCTCTGAGGTCCTGTTGGGGATTAAAGAAGGAAAGACATTTTCAAGAAAAAGAGAGGTGTTATTATAATGATGTAATGTTTTGACATTACTCACAGTAGTCATAAATGTAGAGCTAATACATGAAAGTAATGCAACGTAGTACAATGATGTCACCTTTCATGCCCGTCTTCATCCCACTGAGCCCCTGTTGGGTGACTGGCCTGTCAGTCACTTTGATCTGTGCTGACAGGACTCCAGGGGTGGCAATTGGGATCCCGCCCCTCATATGACCGCTTGTACCTGGAACCATCTGTATTACAATGAAAGAAGAAAACGATATGACACTTGAGTTTAACAAAGTTTAACTTAGAAGGTGGAAAGGTACCTAGTCTATTATGAGAAAGGAGGCGTTGGGTTTCATGTCTAATCAAATAATGACAAACATGGAGAAAAGGAAGAAGAAAAAAAAAAACATTGGATACTGTGAAATTATAGGGTAGCCGGCAAAGGGGGAAGGTCAAGTAGAAATAGAAGAAAAATACAATGGAGGAAAATGACACTGCATTAAGCTCTCCTTTCTACATACAAGGTGATCAGCTGGAATTATTTTTCCTGAAATAAAGCTCATGGTAGTGCATTTACCACACATATAAACACTGCCCCGCATTATTAAGTTTTGAAGTTGAACTAACTGAATTATTACTAGAATTTGTATTTTATCTGAGGCAAGCACAGATTCCATTGTTCTCACATCTGTATACCAAAACATGCTGATGTTACATATATCTAAATGAGGTCAGGTTGTTTATGGGCTTTTGGATCTGACTTTAACAGAACACAACATACTCAGAGGAAGGGTACTAACTCTCACACCATCTCAACGTGACTGATTTTTTTGTGAGCTTTTTTTGTACTTTTAAGACTTTTAGTGTGTTGCGTGATATTTGAAGCACTTGACTTACCATTGTGTGTATGTATATACGGATATGTCAGGTGTTCTGAATTTATTTGAGTTATATTTATTTCAAATAGTCTCCTTTCTTTGAATAAGAACTTGCTCCCACTATTCCACCAGCACCTGTGGGCTTTTTCAGATATTAACCAATCAATGATGTTTGTAATGATGCCCCTCTCAACACTCACTTAGAGAGCTGCCTTTTAACTCCAACCTAACCCCACCTCAAAGCTACAAATAATCCAAACTGCAGTCGACTTACCCCGGTTGCAACACGTATAGCTGTTGGAGGAGGTCGGACAGCTGTTGGGGGTCTTCCAGCACTAGTGGCCACAGACCCAGTGCGACTCATTGGACGACCCATGCCGGAGGGAGGACGCTGGCTCGTCATGATGCCTAAAGCACGGCAACAAAATGGACATATTGACTGATGTCCATGTTGACTGATGTTGGTTGCAGTCATACAAATCCAATGTAATTAAAATTGTTTGCACATTGACAAAAAGGAACGGAGCGATGTTTCTTCCAAGGGGGGACTGTTGCTCTAGCTTCAATAACCTGATTTAAACATTAGAGGACAGTTTTAAGGGGTTTTAAATCCACACATGTGGACATGAAAGCTGTCTCAGTGACTGAATGATGCCTGATGTGTGAGACCATAATCCACGCATCAGTTCTACTTGCATCACTTGTCTTAGAACCTATACAACATCTGCATTAGCGTGATCAGATGCAGCATCACTGTATAAAGCAAAAAGCACGAACTATGAGGAGTAAACGCAAACAATAACAACAACATACCAGGTAAAAGACTTTAGCTTGACCGAAATCGAATTGTTTGTTCCTTCATTACAGTAGAAACTTTGTGTTAGCTAACAGCGTTAGTCTTATCTATGCAACGTTACAACACCAGTAAGAGTCTGTAGTAAACCCAGTCTGGTTGACTACAACTAAACTCGTCTTGAAATGATGTGTTAGCTGTCCAGCTTGGTTTACCACTAGCTAGTTAGCCTAGCTACACAGTGTAGTTGGGTGAGCTCGCAAGTGTTTCGCATATCAAACTGAACTCGGTCCTGTCTGCAGTCAGACAGTAAATACCTGTACATTTCATGCAGAGGTGGAAGTTTAGTTATTTTACCTGAATGAAGAAAAGGCCGGAAACGGTGACACGGTCAAAGCAGCAACTTCAGATGTTGAGGGTAACTAAGGAACAGTCTTCTTCTCCTCCTGACACCAAGGAAAGCGTCATGGTTAAACGCGCATTACTGCCCCCATCCTCCAAAAAAGGGTATTACATGCAGACCTGTAGTATTCTACTACTACAATATAGGGGTTTGTGTGTTTGTGTGTGTGTGTGTGTGTGTGTGTGTGTGTGTGTGTGTGTGTGTGTGTGTGTGTGTTTGTTTGTGTGTCCGGCTGCTTCTTCAAAAGCCAACATTCCGCTCATAACTTTCCCCTCACACGTCTCAGGGGATCATTTGCATATGATCTTTGTCATCCGATTCTTTTCATTGTGTGTTATCTACTGTTGAAATTCCATGTTGCAGCCCCCCCCCCCAAGACCTTAAACCCAACAGTTCCCACAATGATCAGCACTTTAGTGACTGTGGAGGGAAAAAACTCCCTCATTAACCGGAAGAAACCTCTGGCAGAACCAGACGGCCATCTGCCTTGACTGGTCGGAATGAGCAGGGAAAAATAGGGAGGAGAGGAGAGATGGATGGAAAAGAGGGGAGAGAAGAGAGAGAGAGAGAGAGAGAGAGAGATGGGGGACTTTCTTGGTCTTTCTGTGGTTTAATGTGTGGATGGACTCACAACACATTAAAATACCTGAGATGTGAGAATGATAATATGGGAAACAGAACATCAATGTTTTATACCTTCTGTTGAGGTCACACTCTCTAATACTTAACACAAACTGAGAAGTTTGGTTACAGTAATTTAGCAGAATACAGAATAGATTTCTATTAAAATACATGGTGATGACTTCAAGCATGTGTTATAAATATTGTATAATTTAAATCACACATTCTGGCCTAAGTCATATTCATACCAAAGGTTAATGGTTTGGTAAAATGTTAAATAACAAACATGTAGTCTACAAAAAGATGGTAATATTCATTTTCTGCCAGGCTCCACTAGAGGTCAGTGTCTGTCTTAGCTTGTACACATCACACACACTAATGAATTCAGACTCTTGGATTATGCCTTTATAAAAGTCACACCCAGTTAACTACAGTGGGATATTACGTCATGTGGAATGCATTGCAATGTTTATCTTTAAATCCTGCAACCACAGTTTAAAAACAGCCCGAGCAGAACACAGTAAAGTCTGCAGAGTGACTCACAGACTTTTTATTTTTGCTCTCTTAACCACACAGTGTTTAAGTTGACTCAACCTGATCTTTTAAAATGAAATATCACTCCTTATATTTAGCCATATGTGGTGTGGACCTGAGATGTGGCTGATGTTTTTTTTTTATTCATTAATTTTTTTTCTCTCTTTATGAAATACAGCATACAAAGGACCCACAACAACATAAATAACACGACTTCAACTACATAGTCCCCTGAAGTACAGTCAAATATGAGAGGAAAATAAACCAAAGACAAGAAGTCTCTGTTTTTAAAGGTCCAGTGTGTGAGATGAAATGGATCTATTGGCAGAAACTGAATATAAAATAATCCTAGTGTTGTTTTCATGAGTGTGTTTCATCTAAATTGTATGAATTGTTGTTTTCTTTACTCTAGAATGAGCCCTTTATATTTAAATACTTTATCTTTACATACGGAGCAGGTACTCTCTGTGGAAGCCGCCGTGTTTTTTACAGTAACCCAAAGTGGACAAACTAAACACCTTTTTAGTGACCACTAGATGTCACTAAATTCTACACACTGAACCTTTAAAAGACTGAATCAAAGCTCAATTAGTACAATTCCCAACTAGGGCGGCGCGGTGGAAAGTGGTTTGCACAGTTGCCTCACAGCAAGAAGGTCCCAGGTCCTGTCTGTGGGTCTTTCTGTGTCTTCTTCCTCCAACAGTCCGAAGACATGCAGATTGTGGTAAGGTTGATTGGAGACTTGAATTGACCGGAGGTGTGAGTGTGTGTGAATGGTTGTTTGTCTCTGTATGTTAGCGTTGTGATGGACTGGTGATGAACTGATGACCTATCTCGCCAACTGTCAGCTGGGATTGGGAAAGTCCCCTCCTTATAATAAGCATAAGTGGTATAAATAATGATTCGATGTAATACGAAACAGGGATTATAAAAGGAACCGTAACAATATCTTTTAGGTCATAAAATATATAATTGTATAAATAAAATGGATATCTGTGCAGACAAGGCCTTAATATGACTCTCATTCTTTTAGAAAACAATATGAAGCCCCCTGAGAACACAATAAGTCAAACACAAATGAGCGTTTTAGTTCATTTTATTTAATGTTTATTAATCACATCACTAATTAACAAGTAATCACAATAAACACTTTTTTTTCCAAACCAAAAAATACAATTCAAATTAATGAAAAAAAAAAAAAAAAAAAAAAAAAAAAAAAAAACACAAAAAAACATGAGGAGGTTCTGCAAATGTCATAGTAAGTCTAACCTAACACATCCCATTGTTTTTTCAGCATGCACTGCAGGTGTAGTAGGTGTTTATTAGCGAGTGTTACACTTGTCTGGTACGAGTACATGTAGCAGTACATGAAGATCTACGTGGCTCCTCGGATCGATTATTACTGAGGAGCATTAATCACACAAGCCAAACCCAGCAGCTACAATTAGTCGCCTTAATGTCAAACGAGGATGTGTTAGGGTCTCGGTGTGTGCGGCTCTTCAGGGCAGGCTGCTGCTCCAGTGCAACGTGTAGAAGCCAATATGTATTGATATGCGTTACTTCCAAATTACAGGCTTATTCACTGACCTCTAAACTCAGTGCTTTGTGTACTGTGATAAACAATATCTTGTGATTCTGGCGGCTTCAGTCACATTCCTCTTTTTTCAAACAAACCTATACAGAGGTCACTGAATCTTTAAAGCGAATTTTGAGCTAATCAGAACATTATTTTCATCTCTTAAGACTGAGTTTGTGGACATCATTTATTAGTGTGTATTCATAAATGTGCACTACAGGTATGGTTAAATGCCTCTTGTTATAATTAGGCTCTATTTGCCAGGTTCTAAATCAAGCTGCTCTTACAGCATCTTTAATAACAATCTGGCTCTATGAGATTTTCTGCGTTCGTTGTATTTGGGTTCAGATCTCCTTTAAAAGAAGTCCGCAGCGCAGTTTGTGAAACTGGCTGTCACAAATCAAAAGTGTAACCGCTTCATCCGCGAGTGCACAACCGTCACGAGGCTACAGAAACACAACGATAAATACATATACAAAAGCGTTGCGTCTTTAGTACAATATATCTCAAAAGACATTCTTTCACTTCAGTGGCCCCTTTCCAGAGAAGAAGGCAGACCTTTTCAATTTGTCATACTAATAATGAGAATAATAGTCATAATAGTCATGATAAAACGCATACTCCCCGTAAAACCATTAAAGGTACATGGACATAAAAGCAGCCTCGAAACTCCCACCCACCAACCCCCCGGTGATGTTCTTGATTTCAGGGCCGTAAAGAGTGCATCGTTAAAATATCTTCTTAAGTCCGAGGGGCGAGTAAAAACTCTGGGGTAAAAGCAAAGCTAAAACGCGGTTGTGGAGAGGCACAAGGAAAACTTCAGCTCGGTGACACAAATTCAGCGCTCAGCTGGCAGAAAAGCACTCAATCGTCTGCACTTTATACATTCCCTCGTTCAGAAGACATTGATCAACATTTATTGCCTATTACTGTTTTAAAAAAACTTGATCTTTGCTTGTTAGCTTTTCACTTTTTAAGGCATTCCAATGTAGAACGAAATAATGACTGAATCGTTTTTTAATGATTGAATAGGAAAGGTGAGGGCAGCGTACGCCAGTTTATTGCTCATTTGCTTTAATTAGGGATCAATTGAATTACTTGTTCAAAGATGAGTCATTTAACGGTTAATGAAACATCATCACTCCGATACATTTAAGCATTAAGGTGCAATTTAGTTTTGTCAAAGCGTTTTATGAATCATTATTAAAGTGACAATTTGAACTCAACCCAGGAGTGTTTTTGTAGAAGGATGTCATCTCTCGGGGACAGTCAATGCAGCTACAGTGGTAAAATTCAATAAAGCCAATGATGATGATGATTTTTTTTAGAAAATGCCTTTTCTAGTATTAACATTCATTTTTGTGAAATTCAGTTAACTGAAAAAATCATATATGGATATATATATATATATAACAAGTGCTGGGTATCAAGCTTCATCTAACTCACTGAAATGTGTCCACAGCTTTGAGTATGAATCTGTCAGAGTTCAAATTTCCTCAGATGTGTAATTATTTGATCAGAGGGTTTTACATTTACATGAAAATATTCTAAAGAAACAAACAAAAAACATTCTATAAAATCTATTTATTTATTGAAAGATTAATTTTACACATTCCTACAAATTAAAGTCATATATTTTTTTTAATATTATTTTTCATCAAGAGTTGTTTCGGTATCAATAATAGTTCTTGAATCGAAAACGACACCCAGCCCTTGTTATAGCACTATACGTAAACTGATGAAGTGGATAATGAGCAGTATGTCATAGATGTACCAGAGATAATTGAACTGCTAATGTAAAAAAGAGTATTTCTGTCTGTTTGAGCCATTGAATCGCTGTATATAAATGTGCACGTGGAACTAAATCAAGTCTCTAAAAGATGAAACTTTAATGATCATAAACTAGTTTGCCCTGTTTGTCACCATTTAAAAATCACCATGTGAGTTACAGCACATCGACCGTCTAAGATGTTTCCCCAGAGTTACACATATGGTACCAAACCACAACACTTTGAGTTATAATGCACACAGGCTTTCAGCTCCAGGGGGGATATTACAGAATCTGGCCATGCGTTTGAAAGGCAATTGGAGGCGACAGTTGAAATACATTGCTATAGGAGAAGAGGATAAAGCTGCATCATGTTCCGCTGCCAGTACTTCCAACAAGACCACGCACACTATTAAAGATGTTTTGTGTCAAGTGCCGAAAAACATGCTACTATAACCCTCATGGGAACACCTGAACTTGTGACTACACACAGCTACCGGGACAATTTCCTTAAATCGGCTGATACCAGGTTGTTTCATATGTTTTATCAACTATGATATTCTCTCATTATCATCTTCGTCATTAACTTTAGTTTTCAGGTATGAAGGTCAGGAGGCACAAACGAGACACACATCTCCTTCAACGTCAAAGACATTTCCTATCCGACATATTCCTCATCTCCCACTGGACTGTACGCTCACTTACAGCTTCTCGAATTTCAAAGACTTACAGGTTTCTTATTTTGCCATTCACGTGAAACACACCTCAAAAGCCTCATTTCTGCACCTTTCTAGGAACACCTCCCTCCTCACTTTCTTCCTCCCTTCACATGTCACCTCTTTCCTCACTGAGTCTTGGTTTGAGAAAAATCCTGTGCGTGTTTCCAAGATGTTCGCACTACTATCAGGAAAATAAACGAACACCGTATTGCTTATATAGGAAGAAACGTACAATAAATAAATGAAAACTTGTTTTTTAAAATCAAAACCTAAGAGGAAAGACAGAAATAAAAACCGAACGGAACACCGAAGCTCATTTTTACACAATTTTTGTCACTCAAACACATCATCACAAACACAGAGAATAAAGAGTTAAACAGCCTAAAATGTTCATACAGCCTACTTGTTGTCTAGCTTTTTTTTTTGTTTCTCAGCTTGTTTATGGTAAGTGACGATGATGAGAGGAAGTGATGATGAGGATGAACAATGGATTACTGTGGACGTTATTGAAGCAGAGTAAGTGGTTACTGGGAACAAACAGCCCCTACAATCACGAGGGAAAGCGAAGCTATTGTACGTGTGTGACAGAAGCCGTAGGTGAGTCTGAAAGGATTTCCATGCTGCTCGGGAGACAAGTAAGCTGCTGTCTGAGGTGCGCAGGAGAGGTGATGCAGGGTCAGAGTCCACCACCAGGACGTGGGTAAAGAGGATCCAAGTGAAACTCAATGATTCCTATAAGAAGATGCAGCCACAAATGTACGGAAAACTTGCAGTCCCCTAATTTCCCTTCACGTAGATTCCCAACGAGGCTCAAGCTTAGTCTATACAGTCACTTCAGCCAAATGCAGGAGGGTGGAAAGGTTTGAAACGATGAGGGTGACGGCTCATAATGGCGAGCTCAGATGTGAGAGAAGAGGCATGAAGCAGAACTATTAGATAAGTCAAAAGTTTGCAACAACAGATTTAAGATCAGGGAGGTTTTCAGAGCTTTATGGGGGCAAAGAAAAGGTCAAGATCTCATTGAGGAGCTGCTGCCGTCCCCCTGGACCTCCACCTGGAGATGCAGCAAGGAGGGGGCGGAGGGGGAGCCGTCACAGCACGCGGTGGCGGCCAACGACCCAAAGAGGGAGACGCTGCGGCAAGTCGGGGGCAGGTTTTGGTGGTGGCGGTGTAGAGAATAGAAGGAGCCGTGTGGGTGGGGTCCGCTGTCCTGGGGGGCTGGCCAGGTGACGATGTCGGCGCCGTGGTCCGTGCGAGAGCGAGCATTCTCGCGGAAGTTGAGCTTGAAAGACTCAATCTGCAGCAGAGAGGTTGGAAAGAGGAGTGGAGAGAGAGAGAGAAGAGGGGACAGGGATAAAGGATAAAAAAAATTACATACGAGAGAAGGTGGGGGAGTGGGAGAAGATGATGTTGTGGGGGGGTTGAGATGAGGAGGGCAGAAGGACAGCAGAATTAGATGCCTGTAAGATAAGAAGTCAAAAGATGGTGGTGTGATCAGGGGCTGTGGAGTGCAGACAAGATGAATTTTAGCACAGAGACAGTTTGACACTGCAGCCACAAAGACATGAGCATGAAAAGTGCTTTTATTATATCGCGTGTGATGTCTCTGATGTTTCCTGTCGACATCACTGGTCTGTGCATCTCCTCCTGAAAAACAAACCCCAGACTGACAGTGGATGAGGCACAAACATAAACTTACTTGTCTCTGGGATGCTCGAGTCCAGAGCCTGGGGCTCCCGGAGACTCTCGCTATCACATGGAGCCCCGTCCTTCAGCCCATTCTCGTGGGCAGCGAGGTCCCCAGCCTGCCCTGGCTCAAAGCCTGGGGCTGGGGCCTGGGTGCCACTCAGGGGGGTCCCATTCCCCTCAGTTGTCTCCTGGCCCCCCTCAGCCTAGAAACACACAGCAGGCCGTGTCAATTGGTGGGGATGGGACAACCTGGCTCCAAATCTATATAACCGGATATATAATGTTTTTTTTTTTTTTGTAAAAATCTGTATATAGCTCTTCATGTGCGGATCAAAAAACAATAGAAGAACAGTTTAGATTTTGCTTACAAAAGTAAAGCACATGTCTGCTACAGCCTTACAAGATCTGGAGCCAGACTCAGGTGGGGGAAGATGGAATTACAAAAAAGTAATAACACATGAATGCAGTGATAGAAAAGAAAGTCAAGCACATTAAATTGAAACAAGACAGATGTGCAGTCAACATGTGTAGAAATGGTTTTCCTGAGCTGTGAAATCTTTGGTATGATCTCGTATGTTATTCTACATCGGAGTGAATGAAGAATAATTGACGATAAGTTAAACGGCAAATGCAAAAACGTATCATCCTGGTGAAACCGGGTGAATACACATTAAAAACAAAACAAAAAGGCTTTATGGTTAAAGCACAGTGGCGTGAAAACCTCTGCACAATTAAAAAAAGGTCTGAGTTAGTGTGCAGAACAAAACACGCTCAATATGACTCATCACCTTTCCTCATTTCCTAACAATGATTATTAAATCTGGGGCTTCCATCAGTCAGGCTGAAGAAAATGATATTATATATTTGCATCTTTCTAAGACAATGAAGCAAAAGCAAGAGTGGAAAAATAACAGATTTTGTTGTTGGTTTAAAGAGGACATGTTTCAAAGTTGTGTAAATCATCTTTAAAAATAGACTTCAGTTAACACTCATCCAGAAGCTACTTGAAGGTCACTATTATCTGACTGCTATTTTTAGCTTTTCCTGTGATTATGAATCTTCACAGAGTTGGAGGGTGCAGATGACGACTGGGTGTGCAAAACAGTGCGTGAGGAGGAGGAGGATGAGAGTGAAGGTTGTGATGATGAAACACAGATGGACTGCAGTAGGCTGAGGGGACAGGTGACATCATATCTAGTAGTAGTTTTTTTTTGCAAGTTCGCAGTAGCGATCCACAAAATAACCTTTAATTATGATGCTTAGACCTTTAAATGAGTTGGAAAGGGCTGAGTTGAGCATTCAGACTATTTCACAACAGAGAAATAGTATTTTATCAGTATAACAGGGTCACACTGTTTGAATGAAAGATATACACAGCATCTGTGGCAATCCACGGTTGCTGTGTAAAATCTAACCACACATCAACAAAGTCTTGTGCATTAAACACTTTGTAAACAACAATACCATAGGGATGTCATTCCTGCCTGTGGCTGTCAAATTGTATAATGACAAGCTGTAAATAAGCTTAAACATGTATACTGTGTATACTTAAACTTATAATCATGTACAAATGTAAATCTATACATACCCAGTTCTTATTTCTACATATGTATATCTTTTATTTCATTTTAGTCTTACCTGACTCTTATATTACTATGTTTATACCTGCTTTTTCTCTTTCACCTCTTTCTCAGGAGCTCTGTGACGTTTGAATTTCCCTACAGGGATTAATAAAGTACTTCTGATTCTTCTTTAATTTAATAATAGCTCAATTAGTCATGAAAGTTTAATGTTATAATAATCTGATAATGATGAAGACGAGTGAAACAATGCATCATTTGTTGCCCTCAGGACTACATCAAGTAGTCGCCACTATCAGCAAACTGCAGGTAGAGAAGGAAACAGATCTTGAACACTCCATAATAACAACTTCTACCGTTCAAACTGCATTTTCATTGTGGGGCTGAATCATAAAAAAATTGAAATTGAGAAAGAAATTGAAAACAGCTCCACATCTCAGTTTCCTTTAACAGGAAAGTCAAAACAAGGATGTGTTCATGTGTGATGACCTCACCTTAATGTTCCCTCCACCAGGTGAATGGCTCAAATTGTCAGTGGAGCCCACTTTGGACTGAGCCTTTTCCCTAAAGTTCACTTTGTGGGACCCGATCTTCACGTCCCCGCCACCTGCAGCACACATGAGTATCATCAGTGTGTGACGAACACACGGACACGAGGTTTTTATTGTTAACAAGTTCTTCATGTCGAGAAAATAAAAAGAACATGTGATCTTACATATCACTGTAAATGTTGTAGCTGGAGGTGATTATAACTTTTGAAACCAGCTATAATGCTATGTTAACTCATTTATGTAACCAGCAGCGATGTTTCCTAAAAGTTTTGAAGACCATGGATGTTTAAACTATTAAATTGAAAATGAAACCAATGTGGTCTGATAGAACATTTATCATTTATATTAATTGACAGCTGTCAGTACAACACAATCATCTGGAGTTGTAGCAACACGTTGAACCTTTTATGAAGGCAGGATCTGCTGAGTGTACAGAGACGCTAATAACTATCACAGCAGACTCATAACATCTTCCAGCTCACCAGGCTTGTGCTTGATGTTGTCCTTGGAGCCGCACTTTGACGTCACCTTACTCAAATCCACCTTCTTGTTCAGTATCTGCACCTGTTAAATGTCACACAAGCTTTTCTTTATCAACAGTGACAACAGACAGGATGGGTCGAAGGTCATGAGAGAGACTATCCTCTTGTCCAATTTCATTTGACTTTTTTTGCACCACAAAGTATTACGACCACTGACTGAGCATGGGTTGTCCTTGCTGCTTATTAGTTTTTCTTTATTCTTGTAATATCATGACTTTTCTCTCATTATATTACAATTGTATTCTTATAATATCACATTATTCTCAAAATCTCAGAATATTTTAAACTTCGATGTGGCCCCAATACTCTGTTGTATTTTTGAATATTTATACTGTGTTCTGAGTGTCGGACAAGCAGTGATCACAGTATCACCTACTCCATTCTGAGGCAAAAATCTACTGACAAAGACAAACACAAAGAAATCAGATTGTAACTTCAAAATCGCATTTGTAAGAAAACATGCTGAGCTTTGGGATTTCAGACAGGGTCCTGGTGTCCAGGAAACACATTCTCCAGGCTCACCATCGTTGAAATGAACACTCTTATCAAATTCACATTATGACACATCACTGCAGTGACATCATTTGGCACACTTGCTGCAAAGATTGCAGGTAAAAAAATGTCAGACACCATAAGAAGAAGCTGAGGACAGGACAGAAAAACCAGAAATCCCAAATTCACATCTGTGTCGTCTGTGTCTCAGAACCAGACAATCATTACGAGCCAATCAGAGGGCAGCGGAGTTTGTTCGATTGACTGGTGTTTAGTGAGTTAGTGACAGGGCAGGACAACACAAGAAGAGATTAAAGGAGCAGGGGGCTGAGAAGCAGGTTGTGGGCAAGGGGCCGGTGCGTTAGGCTTGCTCGCATGCTGTCCTGTAACTCGAATTCTGTCGCAGAGCAGCGCTATGTGTTGATGTCTGTGTGTAGCTTGACTGTGAGGGAATGCCTCGACTCTGCAAAAGGCTGAGAAGCCGGTTCTAAGGACCGTTGTTCCTTTTTAGGAGCATCAAGGGGATGGAAATACAAGATTTCTTTGATTCTGTCGTTCTTCCCATCTGTTTAACTGAGTCCAATTGTTTGACTAATTGGTCGCTGGTCGTGGGCCAGACAGTACTTACATTCCCTCCACCAGGAACATGCTTCATATTGTCCTTGGAGCCCAAGCGTGAGGTGACGTGGCTGAAGTCCAGCTTTTTGGAGACTATCTGAACCTATATGGACACAGCATAGCAGCAAGAGGGGAGAGGGCGTGACAGGAGAGGAAAAGAGAGGTGATAAGACAAAAAGAGAAGAAAAAAGAACAAAAGAAAGGAGGATAAAAAGAAGAGAGTAGAGGAGAAGTCACAGGTCGGGCTTGAAAAAAGGACAGAGGAAGGGAGCAAGGTCCACCTGGGCAAAATGGCTGCAGATATTTGAACTATTTCATGTGATCTTGCTATCAACTGCAGGGCAGATAAAATGTCTGACACGATCAATACTGCTCATGTTTCCATTTGTAAAGAAACAGTGATAAGAAGTGGGATATATCCAAATATTGTTTTATGCAAATGTGGAGAAAAGGAAGACAGGAGCCAGTGAAAGCCTCACAGAGTCTATTCTATGAAGTACACACATGCAGCACACGTAGCACAACATGTGTCCCTGTTGAGGAGAATGCAGCGGAGTCTCAGAACATGTGTTTGATGGAGACACAGGACAAGTGTTAAGCACATTTAAACAAAAAAGAGTGATGACGGCAACATCGTTTGAGTTATGACATGCAGGTTAAACCAAAATTGCTATTAGACAAAACCTTTATGCGCATGTGAATCATTTTTTTTACATTTTAAAATTCAATAAAACACTTTCTCACACCATCTCTCACACAGCCTGCTTCACACATGACCATCAACCAGCAGGAGTCATAACAGCAGGGACAAGAGCATGATCCCTCATTAGGTTCTGGTCACTGCAACCAGAACCAGAGTCTCTGCAGCAGTGGGACGATCCACCAAGCAAGTGCCCCCTTCTGACTGACATCACAGTCCAACACTGTTTAACACCTCGCAGGACAACACTATGTTAAAAACAAATTATATTTCTGTCATAGAAATATCTGGAATCAAAAGGACAAACATTTTCCAATCAGCCCTAAAGTGACTGATTTTAACTTTTACTGTTAAAGCTGTATTATTGTCATGCAGTTGTAAATGGAGGATCTATCTGCAGTGACTTTGCTGTATGTGAATATTATATGAAGAAGAAGCCATTGCCAGTAACTATCGGTGTTCCCCAGGGGCCCCTTCAGTTTATTATTCATTTACTTCCTCTTGGCCACATCTTCCGTAAATTGAACATCAATTTCATTGCTATGCGACTGACACCTAGCTCTACCTGTTCACCAAACCTACCTCCATTCTCCCGTTTACCACTCTCTCTGATTTCGTACAGGATATCAAATCCTGGTTCAATTTCTCAAACTCAACAGTGATAAAACTCTTTCTCCTAATTGGCACCAAATCCACCTTAACAAAATCAGACAGTTTTTCCTTCACTATAGGTAATTCCTTAATTCCCCTCAGGTTGAGAGTCTGGGTGTCGTCCTTGACAGCACACTATTTTTCCAAGCTAAAGTCAATAATGTTACTGGGTCTGCATACTTCCATCCACGTAACATTAATCACCTCCGCCTGTCCCTCACACCCAACAGCGCCACCATTCTCATTCACACCCTGGCTACATCCAGCGTAACTGTGCCGCTCGCAGCACTCGTTCATATACCACCTTTCTGAACTACACATCAAAACACCCTCCCGCACTCTCTGGTCTTCTTCCTCCATCCACATCACTGTACCATCTGCCCGCTTGACTACCATGGGATCTAGAGCATTCAGCTGCTCTGCTCCCCGCCTCTGGAACTCCCTCCCACCAGACATTCGTGACATTGACTCTGTCTCCTTTTTCAAATCCTGATGTCAAGCACACATCCCTAAAAATACCCATTAAATTCATCCTTTGACTTTAGTCAGTCAGGAGAAGAGGTTTCCTAATCATAGTCTGTTCAGTTGGTTTTCAGATTATCTTTCATATGATACATTTTGTACAGTCTGTTGTCATTGAGAGTAAACTGCATTCATGTTGCCTGCTAGAAAGAACACATCATTCAAAACAATGAAGCAAAATAAAGAAGCAGAAAAAATCCTTTGTCACTCATGTGATTAAAAATCTTAATTCTCCATGGACATGTTGGAATAAGTACAGTGTGTCTGTAGCTGTGTGTTTATGTTTGAGAATACAGTGTGACAGCTCAGGATACTCAGGGTACTTTTACTACTAAAAACACAAAACATATAAAAAATATGAGAAGCTGTAAAAAGGAAATTGCAAAACATGTATGAGTAATAAAATAAAGTTATAAGAGAGAGGAAAGAGGAGGACGATGTGGTGATGGTGGTGGGGATGGAGAGGGGAACTCACTTTGCCCTGGCTCGTGTCTTTGGAGGCAACAGCCCTGCTCTGAGAGGCAGATGAAACCTAGGGAGACAAGCCCACCCTGGGTCAACAACAACAACAACAACAACAACAACAACACCCTGTAACAAAACACAAGGAAAGGAGGAGGAGGAGAAGGAGGAGGATAAATATTATGACCACAAGGCAAAAATGGTTAAGGGCTTAAGGTTCAGGTTAGGGGAAAGAAGGGTAGAAGCAAAAGCAACAAATGTGATAAGGGAGGAATAGTAGGAAGAAAAAAAGGACATGGAGAGATGAGAGAAGAGAGGATGCAAGAAAGAAAAGAAGAGCAGGAAGACACAAAGGTACAGGGAAGAGGGTTGTAAAAGTAGGAAATGGAGGGAAGGTAATGGTTGGTTGCAGACACAGAAGAGGGAGGTGATATGACAGAAGAGAAGAACTTGAAGGATCATTCCACTGAAACTTGGGTCTGAGGCCAATATTTTCACAGAACTCATAAATGTGAGGGGGAGGTGTGTATCTGCAGCTATTTCAATCTGTGTGGGTCGAGGAGTTGGTCATGAAAATAAGACCAACGTTTCAATGAGTTGGGATAATCCTTTAAGAAACAAGACAGGATAGAGAGAAAGACCTAGGGAACTATATAAGACACAAGCTTCCTCTGACATTTTTTTCCAACTTATGCATCAAATGTTCCAACAAAGACGTTGTGAGAGTTAAAAGCTTGAAGAATGGTTGAAATGGTAGAAATTAACATGCTCTTAAAACCGAGCAAGACAACAACAGAACCAAATATTCGAGGAGGTGAGAAGTGTAGCTGTTGATGAGAACGTAGTAACCTGGTTGTGTTTCATGCTCACACACTGAAAAGTCCCAGAGTAACACGTTAGGTCTTACAGTCACAAAGCATGTTAGTTGAGAGACAGTCAGAAAGTACAAGCTCTTAAAAACATAGAGAGCTATCTAGAGGTCGGACAGCTGCAGGAGAACCCACCAGTGGACGTACCTTCCCTCCTCCAGGCTGGTGCTTCATGTTGTCTGTAGAGCCGATCTTGGAGCGGGCGTTGCGGATGTCAGGGGCTGGTGCTGTGCTGGGTCGAGTCGCAGTCTTGGAGGTGGCGGTAGTGGTGCTAGAGAAAGAGGCCCGAGGGGCGCGGGGCACCAAGGGCTTTTTCTCCGGCACGGTGCTGGAGGATGGTGTGGCCGGTTTGGCTGCTGTAGTTCGAGCGCGAGAGGCGGTGGTGGTGGTGGTGGTGGTGGCACCAGCGCTGCGGGTGGTGGTAGTGGTCTTGGGCTTGGTCGAGTCAGCTGAAAGAGAGTGTTATTTAGAGTGTTATGTGTTTCATAGTGGGGGAAAGCTGACCTGGCTCTCTCTACGTTAGATATATATATATATACCTGTATGTCCAAAACCATAAAACATTATTTATCAGGTGAAATTAAGTAATTAAATAACAGAGATTATTATATTTATATATTTCTAGATTTTTTGTATTTTTGTTTGTTTCTGAAAGATTGATTGAGATACATGATGATTTGTGACCTTTATCTTATTTGGCTGTTTGAGGCAGATAAATAGACAGATCTGTTCTTATGAAACTTTGAATTTGCTTCTAGTTGAATCTGAGTGTTATTCTTTATTTATTTCCAGTGAGTTGAGAACAACATAGACTAAAACATTTTACGAAACTGCAGAAGTTCTGACTCTGGTTAACAAATATTGGAATCTTTGACATTTCCCTGCTACACTTGAATGAAGAAAAATGAAAAAAGAAACTCAGAGACATTAGGTATACCCACAACTCGCTCTCTCACTCACACAGACACACGTGCACAGACACACACACACACTTGACCCAAAGCCAAACCACAGAGGACACTGTCTTGCTGTCACTGGCTGTCACCCTGACAGATAAATGTGTATAAGTGTGTGTAAACACACAAAAAAGGGAAAGTGGAGTAAAACAGTGAATCAGCGAACTGTGAATCAGCAAAGCAGACAGAGACAGAAAGAAAAACAACCCGGCACCGAGGGATCATCCTCTTTCATTCAGACCTATTTTAAAGTTGAACTTTAAGATCTCACTGACAGCTGCTGTCCTGCTTTTGTAAATCAGTGAAAATGTCTCATTGAACAAACCTTATAAGTCTACGAGTTTTCTGTAGTATTTATAGCTGACAACCATTAATTCCTAATGCCACCCATGTCCGATGGAATCTGGCTGACTTTTCCATAATTAATAGTCAATAATGAATAAATAAGACCATCCTTATTCTGTAACTTGGTTCAAGAAAATCGGAGTGCTGCAAAAGTGCATGTTTAAATCTCCTCCTGTGTGAGTGAATGCAATATAGCGTCCTTTACTTCAGCAGAGGCACAGCAAAATTCATGCCACATAAAATCACTGAGGTTCACGCACAAGTTGTGATATGTCTTTCTTTACTGAAGTGCTGAGGAATGCTGAGCCACATGTCCTGCTGTTGATCCTCCCTGAGAGCCTTCAGTATATCTCCTGCTCACGTAAGACCTGTTTAATTGAAGGAAACCTCCCGCTTGCCTCCGTGTTTCTAAAGAGTAATTTGACTTGCCACACGAGCCCTGGCAGATTAGACCTCCCCAGGCTGCATCAGCAGGAGCTGCTAACTCCTGTCAACAGCGAGGGGACAGTAATCCATAAACTGCTGCCGTGAAGTTTTTTTTAACTCTCCAGGCCCTTTCAGCAATAAAGCCTCGCTCTGTACGAGCCAGCCCAGCATTGTGCTGGACGGCCAGTGTGTGTTGCACTGTCGCACTCCTGCTGACAGCTGTCATGATGCCAAAATATAAACTAATCTGTTGACAGGGAGAGGGAAGCTGGAACTGTGTAGGAAGAGAAAGGGAGGAAACGGTGTGCAGAAAGCAGAAGCACAGGGTCTGACACTAGCAGGAAATAATAGCACTATGGGTTTTTTTATATCTTTATTCAAGAGTCTATCAGTTTGAGTATATACCTAGTGCTTGCACTCTAATATACGCTGCCTGTGCTTAGATTTCCTGCTTCAGCTCTTCTCCTCATGCTCACAGTGCTTCTGTGCACACGTGAAAGGTCTGCTCTCTGATTGTTTCTTCTGCTCTTGGATTTATTTTTGCAAAAAGTTTCAAGTCTTCAATAGAATGCAATGGTGCAGTGTGAAGTGAAACTGTCCTTGTAGTGGGTAGTGGTAGTTCTATGCCTTTCACAGTCTCGTACGAGTGGTTACTTTAACAAACAGGGCAAGGTTGTATTGGCTAAGAAATGATTATAGACAGTGTGAGGAGAAGAGCTGGAATCTAAGCACAACCAAGGTATATTTGAGTGCCAGGCTAGGTAAAATATGGACGTAAGAGTCCTGCTCTTAAACTGAAAGACCATGCTCTTGAATAAAGAACTGAAAAAACCCCATATGGCACTACTTTACTAGAGTTGTCAAAGTACTACATATAAGCCATTTATGTCCCTTGCACAGTCATTCTGTTAAACCTGTTAAATCACACAGTATGATCTTTTTATAATGCTGAAGATGTGAAATTACATAGATAGGTTTTAATTATTGGACTGTTTTTTATTATTTTGATA